GCAAATTTTATCTGATCGAGTCAGTATTCTCGGACTACAGAGATAGCTGAAAAACAATCGAATTTATTTTGGTTACCTGTAGTTATTGCCTTCCATTTTTAGTTTGATTAAACTGTTCCCAAGTCAATAAAATAAATGATAAAAATTATGAAAAAGTAAAGTTATTTCTGAAAACAATTGTCATTCAAGTATTCATCATGAGATTTATTCTACGGTTTGATACAAACACGACTAAATCATAGCTTAGTCTCATCATACACTGACATCTCTCGATAACCATACTCGATTTCCACCCCTTACTCAGGCACACTGATTCAGGTCATTTGTGACAAACCGCGTTCATCGAGATCCCGATTGGGCACCTTCGGCGGTTCTGCCCGGGAACGTAAAGAAGCGATTAGACAGGTGTTCTTATTCACAAATCATTTGCTGATCACCGCAAGAACTAACAACGGCCGACTACGACTGGTGAAGGTCAGTCTCTACTTGTGTGTCTGCGCGTTCATCTCGACGATGAGAATAAAAAGGAATAAAGTTATTTCTTGGAATCCAGCAAACTGAGTGCTGGGTCTATTTACCACAGTGTTTGACTATCGCACTTTGCGCGTATCTGCGTGTACGTTTGTCCGAATGCAAGCATACACATATGTATGTGTGCGTCCGTGATTGTTCTCAGTCAATTCGTATTGCAACGATCCTGTGATATTTTGTATTCCCTGTGTTCTTCACCAAAAGTAAGACAATTCTGTAGGACTCATTGATCTCAACTCACTGAGCGAAATGCCGTGAACTTGATAAGTGATCTTCCCACAGGACCGAGTAAAGCAAGACACGCAGGTCAACGAGGGATGAGCGACAAAGAGAGATAGCCAAGGCTAACCTGATCACGTATGTGGTTGCGTGTATACAAGGTCCCAATTGACCAAATTTGATAACTACCCCTCCGTCTTTTTTCCACTTGTTTATTGACAGAATTACGGGAAAATATCGTTGGTTGAATGTACGCTCGTTGAAGATACCACCGCCGAGTTGTTCAGCAACGATGACGATGGTAAGTGAGCGATTAGAAATGTTGAAAAGCGTGTGATGTTCCTGAGGCTATGTTTAGTCTGCTGTCATCAAACCCGATTCATCCCCGCGGTTATGGTCATATTATTGTTCCATTTTGTTCTTGACTATTTCTTTATCTTAGTCCCACGGATCCCGGCTCTCTCGTTGCCGTCGGTTAGTATATTCTCACAAAATACAATGGTGACTGTGGTAGTAATAGTAGAATATGACTAAGCTATTCTACAGATAGCTGCCAGAATCATCTATTTACTCATAGAGCTACTTGTATGTTACTTGTACGGCTTGTGTTACTTGTATTAACAAGATTTTCCACGGTACATAAAACAACAATACAAATAACTGGATGTGATTAATCTGGCACAGTCTACCACGCAATCACAAACTGAGCACCGATATTAAGGCAACTTACAGTATACATCATAGGTGGCTCACTGCATCGATGGCTGAGCACAAGCAATGGCTTTGCTATCAATCTGTTCGCTGAGAAATTCTATTCTCGTTTCCTCTTCGAAAAATAATAAATGGTTAAACCATGATTGAATAACATCAAAAACTCCGGTTGCTTCATGAAAACTTATGAATGGGATTGATAACTCAAGTCAGGCAAATGATATTCGGGGAGGGAAAACCAAGTATAATTGGTTTAAATGTTCCTGTTAGAGCATTACCTATAAGTTTTCAAAGGAAAAATTGGTGAGAAAAATAAAGCACGTATTCCGTCCTTTTTTGAATACCTCCAAATCATTTTCGAAACGCTTCATTTCTCGCGATACCATGGATAACGTGGACTTGTGAGCGCGAATAATATAATTTAAAAAGAAATAATTGCTAGCAATGCGATATCGTTATTGAATCAGGGACCACGAGTAGAGCGGTGTGAGTTGGGTAACTGTTTAGGTCTCGACAACAATGAGCAAACGGCTTGATCGTTCCGAATTACACGTCGAGGATAGGACACTGACGTACCTCAGTGCGTCATAAGCACACTTATCACTTGACCCCGCCCCCTCAATAATGTTACATTGGTGCTGGGCTAACAGCCTCCTGTGTAGATCATTTCACCGGAGAGATGTGTGCACTTCAAGCGACTGATTGACAGTAAGCTTTACGATATATATATATATATATGTACTTATGAGGATTTAAGTTACTGTTGTGAAATGGACCCTTTCTACAACACGATCTGTATCGGATGTAGCTTCAAAATTCTCATGGAATTCGGTAGTCGACCGCACGGTCTGAACAGAGTGCGATACAGCTTATCCTCCGTAGGCAGATTAGAAACTGAATCGTGATATGAGAGGAATGGAGGAGTTGATTTGATTAGATGGTGAATTCGTCGTGTAAATGAGGCCCGACTGGGGATCGATGCCCAGTTGGGTTGATGGATTCGCATTGCTGATGAGACCCAACCAGGTCGAAACAGTTATCCAGTGCTTCGCAGCTTTTTAGTTCACGCCTCATTAACACGACGAATTCATCATCGAAACTGAATCGTGTTAAGTTTTCTCTTAAGGTCTCCAATTACGACTGGAGTATGATGAGGTTAGGATTGGTCAATTCCTGATCTGATTTGTGTAATACCAACCCAAATAACCGCAGACTAGGCTGGGATAGATTCACAATGCAAATGAACAATACGAATATATCGGTTTCTGACTAGTTTTTTTGGGAGTTAATCTCATCCGATTCCCGGAATGGATTCTGTTAGTAAAGAATTCCAACAGTGGGCAGTTCTCAATCCAACTCCTTTAAGTAAATAATAATGAACATCCTATTCCGCCAATAATACGCTTGCATAGAATTCATAATGGTTCTCGGTTTATCGAATAGCCAGTTATCCGTATTCAGTTATCTTCTTCCATTTACACTAGCGGGATGAGGAAAACAATTATTCATGCTTGGATCAAAGCAATCAAAAAGCTATTGGTCTCCCATGGAGAGAATTGATCATCTCGTTGCGTGGCCCTCGGTGACTACGCGCGGTCTAAATCGCTCAGCTGCGTAGGTTTGACAACAGAAAGCGTCTAAAGCAACTAATACTGAACGGCGTTTGTCGTAAGGAACAAAAGCTTCCAAATTCTACCCATCCATTTTGCAACAGCTCTTCAATGGTCGCCATCTCCTTATCAAGTATCAGTTGTTACAGGCTTTGTTTACCAACTAAAAGGGATGTAAATAGACTCATTACATGAACGCCTGATCCACGATAATCCATCTAACAGCTGACAGTGATTGAGTGTAGACCAAAATCTCTCTAGATCTCTGGAAAGCTCTAGTGACGTACACAACACGATTTAAGGACCAAAAAATCGCTTGAAATCAACAAATGCTTATTGGTAGGATCAGCATACGTAGTCCACCGTGCACACATAATCGAATGTTACTAAAACTAAATATGTATTAAGTGTCTGAAAATTATATGCTGCTCAAAGGTTATTCGTTCTCTTGTAACATGTAGTAAAACATTTTTCAAAATTGCATGAAGTGATCTACCTGCTTAACTTCGCCTAAGGGCACGTAGAAAACATGGATAGATAGATAAAATCCGTAGGAAAACATTTATTTATCTTTTGATGCATAACTCAATGTGCCTAAGATAAGAGATTTCAAGAATAACTTTATTTATTTTTCCAGGTTACAACAATTTGGACACAGAGCGGAAAACAGTTGAGCATACCTGTATTAGTGGTGGATCAAGAACGGCCGTGTGCACTCCATCTGCTCCTCTTCCTTCTCTTCCTCTTCCACCGCCTATCGGGGGAAATTCCGGTCTCACCTATTCGCAACAACCATCGCAGCACTCGCTTACTTCTATCTTGGCCGGCTCGACACGAGGACTAAGTGGCTTGAGCAACACCGATATTCCTGGCCCATCAATCGCCACGAGCACGAACGTGACCAGCACCATCTCGCGATTACCCAATCGATCTGACTCAGGTCCTCCAATAGCTTTTGGGGGTCGTCGTCTTGGGTCAAGTGAGTCGGGACAACGTCCAGCAAGTGGCTCGATCCTGACGTCATACACCAGTGCCTTTCCCGGAACCTTAAACAATTCCCTGCCCAGTGGGGATCCTGTGCATCGACACTCAACGTCTTTGTGTTTGGCTTCCGTTGAGGCCGAACCATCTACAATCGGGACGCGTGGTGCTGGACCACAGCAAGCAAACGAATCGGGAATCGGTTTGAGTACCATCAGTACCACCGCCAATACTACTACAACAACTGGTGCAACGGTAGTCGGAGCAAACACCACAAACCAGACAAATCCCGCTCCCACATCTGTTCCCTTAATCCACCGATTTAGCAGTAATTTTGCGATGCTCAGCTCAATCGGGACCGCAGCACTGACTCAGTCATCAAACAATAACGCCACTGGGATTCATTCAACTTGTGTTGGGACACCGGGCACCAATATGGATAAGGCTGACTATGGAAATCTAGATTTTCGAATTGTTTGGGAACCAAAAAACGGACAACCAACTAGTATTTGGTTGGTAGCATCCACTCTTCAAGAGAAAGCAGCCTGGTGTTCGGATATCAGCCAAGTGAGTTGAACAATTCGACTGGGTGAATCGATGATGAAGCGCTTCCTATGTGCATTTCAGTTCACGCGGAAATCCTAATTGAAACCTTGATATAAGCTCTGTTTTAGTTAATAAGTTACATCTCAGAGGTAGACAGCGTTGAAAATAGCTGCTATAGGTCAGTAATGAGGGTGTTAAATTTCAATCACATTATCCACGTTTGGAATCCTGGTAGACATACAAAAATAGCACGCGCTTCCGACGAGTCCTGAAGAGGACGAAACAGCTATCCAGTGCTGCTGGTCTTCTATCACAACCAAACACACACACAACACCATCTCCGACAAATGCAATAAAATATAAGCAATATGTATGATGAATTCGTCGTGTAAATGAAGCGTGAGCTGAAAAGCTAAGTAATACTGGACAGCTGTTTTGACCTGGTTAGGTCTCAGCAGCAACGCGAATTTACAGATCCAGCTGGGGAACTAACCAGGGACCTCACAGATAGAATGAAAGCATAATACTCTCCGGACCACTGGGTGGCTGATCTGACCGTTTTTAATTTCTAATCTACAAAGCAGGTCAAAACAGCTGCTCAATGTTTCCTAGAATTTTAACTCACACCTCGTTCGCAAGAAAAATTGATAATTGATCAAATCCTTCACTACTTTTACACATCTGGACAAGCAACGAACTCCGGTAGATTGAGATTCGTGCAAAACATAATGCACTAGTGACCGGGTCTGTGAATTCACACGGATAACGGAAGGAAATGCTTTTATTCAGGCACGCTTATTGTGGAATTTCCCATCAAATAGATGCTGACACTAGATCGCTTTCAGCAGCATTCAAACTGGTCGTCTATATGCATGTTAATAGTCGGAAGATTTGCTTGATACCATTGTGACCCTTAGTTCTGCAGGGTCAAGTTAACTCAATGGTGTACTTTGTTTGACCATCAGATGGACACGTTTTCTATATTTAACCGGGCGTACTTCGAAAGAAACGTTTTGTCTAGGAGAAACCGTCAAAAATGGGATTGGATCGAAGCCGAGGATGTGAACGTTTTCAAGTAAACTTCTGTTCTGAACTAGCAGCCAGTTGGTCACTGCAAGCCAAAAATCTTGTCCAGAAGTGCATCAGTGGAGTTGGGATATCACGGTAATCCGGGTATACAGTGGCTTGAACTTTTTACGAGTCTATGATTTGGTGGAAAGAGAGCAAGAAAGATAAATATGAATGGGGTGGATATGACACTATTTTACACAATCGGCCACAAAAAAAGGCGACTTTTTACCATAATTTCGACTAGCGAAGAAGAAGAAATATTTCCAGGCTTGGAGATACACTTGAAATAGCGTTCGATTAGGTCTAAGTCCTCGGAGATCAAACCTGGGATATTTACTGGGAATCCATCAATATAGTAGGCAGGAAATCAATTCTTAACGTTCAGCGTTTATAGCACTGAGGTCAATTTTAGTTTTCCTGAAGGTTGACTAAGAACAGCAATGAATCCAAACTGGTGTTTTGAACCAGGTGTATTTGGCCAAGTCACGCAGGCTTAATTGGTATCATGACCAAGAAAAAGTGCACCCAAACTGCCGTCTGACTACCCTACACCTTCTACCTTTAAATGTCCGCATGTGCAGAGCTTTGCCATCATTTAGCTACAAGCACCTTGTTTCGCGGTAGACTGAAGTTAGTCTGATCATTCAGTCTGTCGTTAACCAAGTCATTTGAAAGTTCATACTTTCTGAAATCTAGTTATGTAGGATCGTTGACAAAGTGCGATAAAGTCGATGAACTGTGACATAACTGGATGAATTTCACCAGGACGAACGGTCATTTCAACAGGCAGGTTAAAGATCATCATTGATTTGATTTTACTGCATCTTCATCACAAAGTTTGCTACGACTGTGTGATACAGTGAAAATTGCAACCAGAGGGGGTGTGATGTATGGAAGATAACCAAAGAAACACATTCTAACGATCAACGCCTAGTCAAATCCAGAAAGCTTGATTTACCCTGGTAGGACAGCTTTTAACATCTTCCAAAAATTCATTGTAGCTAATAAAACAGTGTTTAAAAAAACTAAGAAACAAACGAAAAATCCGACATAAAAGTTTGGCCAAAAGGTTTCCAATACTGGGTGGGTGGACGGTTAACTAAAACAAGCGCCAAGAAGAGGATACCACTGCAGTCGCAGATGGATATGTGGTCGGGAGACAATATTCATTCTGGATTGCGTACGGGAATCCAAGACCGTTTTGAGGATTTCTGGTGTGCAAATAGCATCAGCGTTAGATAACAGCCTTTTGGTGATCCTGACACATGTATCGATATTCGTGTGATCAGTGGAGTTACAGTGATCATTACGGTGAAAATTTTCGGGAATTAAAGCCATTGATGTATAATGCAGACAGTAACCAATATGGATATAAAACACCATATTTTTCAAACCTGTAACTGTAATAGAACAACTTACTAGCGATTAGTTTCAAAATGCATATACCAGTAAAGATTGTGAGAAAAAATAAAACCTAATTATTTCGCGTATGCGGCGTTAAGGGTATTGTCTCCACAAGCAGCGACATATAGAGAATCATGAAAACATATTGGTGTCGAGAAATTAGATTTAAGTTTAGAAAGGGGGTTTCAATATTTAGTTGAAGGAAGCCTGACGTAGACCAGTTGCAGAGGTTAGTTAAACAATCATGGAGAGGGTCCAGTGAAGACGGTTCGACGTACGGGCAATCAACGACGATACCATCTGCACACTGGCAATCAATTACACCGCAGAGTGTAGAATGGTCTTTTATTTGCAGGGAGGAAAACAAAGTAGACTTTCCGAAACATGTCAGATCGGATTGGAAGAGATGAAGAACGTTTTAGACCGCAGGATGCAAATTTTATGAACTGTTCATGTAAAACATTCAAGATACCTGGCCGAACGATTTAGGCTGCCTTGATTCACAAAATGCAAAGCGTCTGAAAAATCGAGAAAGACCATCGTACAATCCGAATGCCCTTATCCCAGGCAGACTGCACAGCATGGGTGACAGCTTTAAGCGTCAAAAATATTTACGGTCAAACCTACTATTGGTGACATTCGTTTGAGTAGCACGTTCTCAAAGACCTCCAGTGATAAATAGGTGCAAGGTGGTACTTAACGGACCATTTCTTGGTTTATTTGGTTTATGTTAAGAGGCTTCCACTTTTGGTGAATTACCCTGATGAATAGGTATAAAGTAAACATGTCAGTAATGGGCTCAGAAAGTTACTCGGCACATCGATTTAGCATATTAGGCTACATTAAATCGGGGCAAAAAGAGTTGTTACTTTTCAGGCTCTGCAGAATTCTGAGGGTTCATTAGAGTTGATGAATTGAGCATCTTTAGAAGATGGGTAAAGGAGAGGTGCAATAATTGCTCCGGGCGAAAAAGCACATTTTTGACCCATGCTCGACATCCGGAAGGCGATTGCCTGTGCACTACATCTCACAGTTCTTGTAACCAAGACTAGCTGAAACGTAGTTAATAGAGTTTGGAATCTCATTGTTTATAAGGAAATATGTAGTCCTAATTAATTCATATCTTCTTGGCCCATGAATTTCTCTTCCTTCTGGCGCTGAAGGGAACTCGGTCGATGGGGACATGAACCGTTTCCACAGGGTAGTAAAATTCCTAACAAAATATGAGATAATCCAATTGATGGAACTGTACAAATAGACGGATATATGGAGAAACTCATCTGTTCGAATGATCATAAGTTTCTGTCTTTTACGCCCTAAGATGCATGTTGCGTTTATTTTGAGAGCCAACTTTTACTGTATATTTTGAAGGGACAAGCTAGGTAATGGTCAGAAGTGCTGATGGGAGATTTTTAAGTTTACAAATCTCTGAATCTTTCTTTTGTTGAATAAACAAATATACAACTTTCCGTAATGGGGTGGGCTGCAGTTATTAAGGCGCCCCCTTGAGGATACAAATAGAGGGGGAAATCTGGGCAGCATTGGTGGGGAATCGAACACATACGGGACAGTAAGTTGCAACCTTTACTGCTTGACCACCGCTGATGGATGGAAGAAATGTCGGGGTAGGTCGGTCACACAGAAGAGGCCAAAAGTAAAGACCACATCGTGGTACAGCCCGACTCATGTCCAAGGGGATTTCACTGTATCTCAACATTGTATATGCTGCAGAAAACTCAATTTTTACACTGGGCTTTAACATGGAAACAAAGTAAGTAAGTAAGTAAGTTAGGAGGAACAGGATGATTGTGCATGTATATGGATGAAAAACAATAGCGACGAAATGGTACCCAACACACACCCGAGTTAACGTTAGAAGAGGACGTGGTTTGTATTTGGGGGATTGTGTGCTGTCTGAGTAGTAGTTTGGGAGAACACTCAACACATCAGATCCCAAACTGCAATCAGAGAGACGTTAAATGAGAACACGACGGTCAACGTCCCGAAACATTGACAAGGATGTCGATTGCGACCCAAGCATTCCAAAGAATTACGCAAAGAAATCAACTAAGGAACCGGAGCTTTCAACGAGTATAAAATGGAAGCGAAAGAATTAAATTGCAGTACAGTTATTAATCCACTACCCCGATTGTGGCGACTGCTAGACGATCGTCCCAGAAGATGCCATAGCCACCGAGTTTCATTAAGTCATTATCAACAGTAGAATGTAAACAACTTTCCAGGCGCGCTGGTTGCTTCGTAAGAATACTGTATTTTTGAATACGCAGTAAAAAGTTTGTAGTTGGAATGTATGTATACAAGATAGACAGGTTGCTCCGATAAGTAGTTACCTGCCCCATTTTCTAAAACTTTGCCTTGGTATGCAGTTGCGTATAGCATGTCTTAGTAATTTAAAGGCTATGGCAATATCATTTCCTTGATTAAAAATTGGTGACTTTGTTTCGTTTAGACTTTAAACATTAGCCAAAATAAATGTGTTACTTCGATCGCTCACAGGTTTTGTCGATCGAAATAAGAGTATAGAATATACGATGGCAAATCCATGTGTATTCGTCACGTTCACCCTAACTTGTTGATTTCGCTGCAGTCTGGTTTGTATAAAGCGCCAGAAACGAAAAGCCGTAAATGATGATAATGGGATACAACCTAATGGTCATTTGGGGGTCAGTTAAGCACTCAGTCGACCCCTACAGCGCCACAAATGTTTGTTATGTGCGTTGCAGTTAGGCTTGTGAGGAATCAAATGCTCGAGGTGTTTAATGGGACGGCAATGTTGATTCTAGCAATCTCCGCCGCACCATAGCATAGAACATAAACAAAACTGTTTTGAGTGGGCAGCTCGTTTGTGTACGAGAAAACTTCTATGTGCCAGCTACTGAATCGTAGCATTCATCCTAATCAAACAAGGAAGACGGGATTGATCGCTTGTCTGCTTGCCCATCTCTGTTCGCTTGCCACACTGCCTGCTTGCCTGCTCGCCTGCCCAATCTATTGATCGACGGAAGATTGTCACATGACCAAAGAACTCTCCAGCCCGGCAGAGATGCAGCTCACTCGTCTGGCAGCGAGTGTCCAGTTGCAGTTTGTCTCGTTGCGCGAAGCTCCATTGCGCACACACACATATGGGGACACACCGACAACACTTGGCGCATAAATAGCTAGGTAGCAGCGGTAAACACGACTTCATGCACGCAGTCATGCTCGGGCTGGGGCAGGAGAGTGCCCAAGCAGTGGATATTCCGACCACACTGCACGTGTGTGCGTACACACACGGACCCTAGAATACACATATGAGCACGTACTAACGCACCACCGTACACTCGTACCCGTGCCATATCCCAGCAGAAGTGTGTCCATTGGGCTTGTCGTGCCCTCGATAAGCTGACCGGTATTATCGACCGACTGCGCAACTCATTTTCACAGACAAACCTAATAATCTGCAGGGCTGCATACGCGGACACACAACATCCATCCGTGCGTTTGTTCGGGGAAGCCAAGCAGAGCACACGACCGCACGTGCGCGCACACTGCGAGGGACGAACGGGCATAGATTGAAAACGAGTGAGCTGCAAAGACATGAGAGACGATTGCGAAATTCAAAGGGCCAGTTAGGGATGGGGTGGTGGTGGTGGTGTCAGTGATGGTCTTCGCCGCACAAGCAAAGCGACGAAATGAGACGTGAACAACGCAAGCAAGCACGCACGCACGCACACACACATACACGCACGCATGCACGCACGTGCACACAATGCTCATCAGACCAGCGCATGGGCTAAGAATAGCGGTGTTCGAGTGCATGTTCTTGTTCGTCTCGACAGTAATAAGACCCCCAATCATACATGTCGTGCGGATCAGACGTGGATCGGACGGTGGTGATTGTGACGGATACCTGCACACATTTCACCACACATTCCAATCGGAGCTCGTTTAGAACGTGCATTTCGAAATAAGCGATGGTAATTCTAACATGTACAACCTCCTTGGGGTTGGTTTTTTTTTTATTTCACCGAAACGTTAGCCATCCAAGTCGCGGAACAGTTGCGCAACCGACACACAGGAAACAAATTCTTGTTAAATAAACTCCGTCAGATGGGTAAAATGCCTTTGCTATGTCCGCTAATGAAATGCTCTAAGCTGAATGATGTAACCAGGATAGAGGAAGTGGTTCAAATCGAGAATGGAATGTGTATTGCATACATTATGATTTGTGCAAACCCAACAGTTTGTTGACATGACGACTTCGATGACCGCGCATAATCTGGTGTGACTAGAAAATCAAAGTTACATTTCGTTGTCACCACAGCTGTAAAATTTGCCCTGCTCAACCAACCGACACAGTCCAATCTGATAATATCCAATTAGTGAAGTGAACATCTATAATTTTATATGTACTGGGGGACAAAAGAGGTAGAACGACTTTCTGTACAGCATCGTATAATGTACGTTAGGATAGTTCGAGCTGGCTGAGGTACGCAAATCAAAAACACATGCCGACCCTTAACCTTAATCCTGGCTGAATACCATGCTTTCCTCCAACGTTTAAATTTGTTACAAAATAATTTCGTCGCGGTTAGAAGCGTAGCACCAGCAGTACAGCCAAACAGAAATTTCAAATTTGACCGTATCGATATATTTACTATGACCAACTTTGATTGGCCCTAGTGTACACTTCTTAGATGATGAATGTCCATGCCTATTTACTGAGTCCCTGTGATTGGTTTGGATTTCGCGGGAATCAATTATCCAATCCCTGTAATAGTTGTTGTGGTGACCTTTAGTGTTTGAATTGTCCATCATCGTCAATGTCTGAGTGACCACAGCTAATTGTGCCCTAGCTGTAGCTCACCCCAAAACTAGCAGGCAGGTCAATCGACATGTGAAATTGTTGGTGAGATTCTCTTGAGAAAATGAGTTACATTTTTCAAGCATTCACTACCAACATTCGAAGGGTTTAAGAACCCCACTGTACACTTTCACCAGGCGGGCATTCGACCCCAAAACGCACCTTATCTCCAGAGTGCCAGAATATCAAGAAATGAAAAATCAAGATAAGGCATCTGAATAAACAAGACAAAACGTTTTACCAAAGCTGAGGGCTTTTGAGTGTGTCCTAAGGCATGAACGTCTGTTGATACACGATTAGGTACTAATTATTAGTTGTATGAGAGTAATGAAAGATTTGATTTGTTTATATGATGAATTTGTCCTGTAGATAAGGCGTGAGCTGAGAAGCTGGGAAGCACTACACAGCTGTTTTAACCTGGTTGGGTCTCATCAGCAGTGCGAATCCATCGACTTAACTGGGGGTCGAATCCTGGGACCTCAAAGATAGAACGCAGCCATACTATCCAGTCAGCCACCGGTCAGCAGATCAGACCCTTTCTCTTTTCGAATATACACGATATAGCACAACTCATCTAAGTGGGATTGCTGTCAGTATCGGTCCTCGCTCATCTCAGCACTAGCCTCCAGAATGTTTCGAAGAACAATGTTCAATGTAGTGTAGAACGTATCAACCGGATTCTTTTCATTATTCTGCCATACACACTCCAGTCAGATGCAGAATTCTATTCCGTTTCCATTTAGAAGGTTCCGGGTTATTAAGGTCATGCAAGCGAAACACTATAGTGAGTTATTCAGACGACACGTATAACGGATTAACCAATCAAAATGACTTAAGGTAGTCTGCTGCACCATTCGACCGGCGTAGGGTAACATAATATCATACGATTGAGGTCCTTGAGGAAGTTGCTTCTTCAGATGGTTTTGATAACTGAATTGCTCTATTATGCCGAAATAATTTGATACCTATCGGGAAAAAAACAGAATTTAGTGGCTTGACGAATGCAAAATGACGTGCAATTATGAACTAAGGTTGTCTATCCTTGATACTGTGAGTTACAGGTGAATAAACCACTTATGCTGAATATAGTCACTTCGGTGGCGCTAACTGTATTCACTCCAGCTATTGAAAGTCTTTTTAAGGAGCCCATCATACTACCATTCAGGAAAGGTTAAACATTTGTTTTCTAGAAGACAATTGGTAGTATATCCATGTTTTCCGGAACCGGACGAGAGGTCTGGTGGGTAAGATGCTTGACTAATTGTAAGGCTAGGCATCAATTTTGGGGGAAGATTGCAAAGAAAAATTGCGATCAAAAATAGTTATCACGTGCACACACACACACACACACCTGTACAGAATCACAAGAAACAAGTAAACGACAGATTTTTGTCTTTATGAAATAGAAAAGCCCTGTTATATAGATCAAAAACAAGCAAACCCAAAGTGTCCGAATGTGCACCGGGAATCGAGGTGGTGTTTTGTTGAAGGGGCCTAAATTTCTTAGCCAATAAAGTTGCTTTCAAGGGTTGGAATTTCCGAAATTTTATTGTTGTACTACTAGTACTACTACCACAATGATCACCAGCATGATAATAACAACTATATATAGAGATTTGATAATGTTTCATGTACATGAACTCTCCTTATCGATTGTGGATACCTAAATGTTGCATCTATCGATTTGTATGCTTTCTCTGTCATTTTAGTGCATCGAACAACTGCACTACGGTGATCTGTTGAATTCTGCTCAGTCAGATGTGTCCTCCGTTGCAATGCCCCAATCTATCAGGTACTGTGCATGAATACGCATGTCTCGATTTTCACTTATCATTCACATCACACATCATCTACTTTCTTGATAACCTTGAATCATGTCTCTTTTCTAAGGTGCTAGTTGATCACGGGTTGATTTATGCAGTATGAAACATGAGAGTTGGGAGTTGCCAACCACAAATAGTTGGGGAACCGGTGAAGTGTGAACTGAAACTGCTTTTCAGTGTAAACCATCTATCATGAAACTAAATGCTGTCGGATTAGCCATACGAAGGAAACTGAGCAGACACCGAAGGATTTTATAATCATTTATATTCTGATTGTCTGAAATCATTCGTTCAATAAATTAGGACTTGACACAGTCTACCAAGGATCAGCTCATTGTTATTATCATTATTATTATTAGTAGTAGTAGTAGTAGTGGTAGTAGTAATAGTATTACTATAACTGTTGAAACCATTAGGTGCTCCATCTACTGCTCGTTATTCCAAACACAACAAATAAAATTAGTATTGGTGAAATACAATACTGATGAGTTCTCCGCATCCCGAGCTACAATCGTTCCACATCAGTCCAAACAACGATATTGTATGCGAAGGATTCTATATCAAATAGCAAAACGATCATGTTTAGTCAATTTAATAGTAATGTCGGCTTGAAATTACCGCTGCAGAGGCTGTGCACTATTGTCTTCAAACATCACCGGTCACAAAAACCCTAGCCAATTAGATGAACTCTCAGACATCCACTNCCCCCCCCCCCAAGCTATATATGATCCATTTCCGTACCAGGTGGTCACCAATCCAACGATCCTTACAGATGAAAAGAAAACCTTTTGCAGTTCATTGGATTTTTGTAGGACAAACCTTCGACAAGATCACCTTTCCCGATCAGTTCATTTGCATTTTGAAAAACTGAGCACAAAGGATCTCAGCAGTTTAGGTCATCTCAATGAACTGCGAGATAGATGTGCGAAGGAACGAAGGGTTTGGGTTTGTCATTGAGAAAGCGGATAATGCGAGAAATTCGATGATGGACCGGAGGAGAATGGAGGAAGGTGCGGTCAACGCCCAAGTGATCAAGTTAAATTGAACACACAGTTGTGATTTTAGCCCATTGATAATAATCGCTTCAGTAAACCCCAAATATCTGTCTACTGCGGGCTACTGCGAAGCCTCGGACTATGTCTGTTGAGTTAACCTGATGACGGGGGAAGAGCAATCGAACTGGATGGTTTTCCATTGTCAGTATCAATAGATTTGTGGAAGTCAATTCTGATTGAGTCATGATATCCTTGCTATTCAAACTATCCTATCTTATATGGATAGATATAGAACAGAAAGCTACACACATGTCTGCTAGGTCCATGTTGGTGTGAGAGAGAAAGCAGTCAGTTCTGAGTAATGTCATCAAGTTGATGACATGAAATGATCATTCGAACGTTGCACCCGAAAGATGCTTGTGACGCAGGTTTTGTTATCCTGGTAGCCTAAGCGTTGGTCACATCTTCCTCAACCCCGTTCTCTCCATCACCTCAGTTTAAACAATATGCACTTCCTCAACGATACACGGCGTTTGGTTCCTTATCACACCTTTTGTAGGGATCACAAAAATTAGTCAGACCTTTCATTGTTTGTTACGACCAGTTCTCAAAATTGCTTGATCTGGAGACGGCAGTAATCACACACTTCGTTTGAATTGTCCAATGCATATGCATTTACTTGTCATCACATCAGGATTTCACCACTATCAACCTCGGTTGCAGTTGATCTATCAAGTCACTTTCGTCGCGTTCCATTCTTAGATCTGTTTTTTAAATATTGTGTCCATTTTACCTTTCTCACACACCTAGCCTTTTGTCATTACCACAATATTGTTTCAGATCTGATCCGCGACTCTTCAAAGACGATGTGGATATCAAGTTTAGTCATACTCTGAACTCGTGCAAAGTACCTCAGGTAAGAAACGCTATCTGCTTCACAATTATGAACCTTCACACACTGTTGTTCATATCCGTTTACCGCATTGATTTCTACTGATAAAATCTGGAGAACTGTGGCGGATTTGTTTGTTCGTCATTGAGGAAGAGTTGTCCATCTGTCGCTATGGATCGTGCAGATAACATATGTATCAACCTCTGCTCCGGATACAGACACCGTCGAAAGTCAGCGACTTGAATAGACCAGTTGTTGTGAAAAGCACTAGAGTCATCGAAAGAGTCCAAAACGCAGAGATTAATAAATTATAATCTTTCCAGCCTGCTAACCCGTGTGGGGGAAATCTTTAAATCTTCTACAGTTTGTGATGTACCATAAATTTTATTCAATTTAAGTAATCCTTTTGCAAATTTAAGATGTTAAGCTCCACGTGGACAGTATCTTGCGAAGTACAAAGCAGAGCCTTAGGAATAGTCGCCAAGCGATTATCCACTGCAGCCAATGTCATCTATCAAAGCCTTTTGTGCCTGTCACAAGACGACTCGTTCAGGTATTGTGAGGTGAAAATATTAGCAAGCGATGCCCAAACCTACGGCTAAATGATATATGCGTGTCCACCAATAATTGCTTCTTACGACGCGCCACACGCAAGCACATTCGCTTCACACCTGAGCGAGGGTAGAATACTAGGTAATTCCGGACATTGCCGAATTCCATCAGTTAGTGAGGCCCATTGTTTCAAAGGCTCATCTGTCCGCTCACCAAGAGATTCTCCATGTAGGGCACAAAATCCTAAATAGATACTCGGAAATCTTACATTGTAACTAGAGCAGGGTAAATTGAAAAAGGGTATAAACGTAAAATAAATGGAGAGAAAAATTCACGAAAACTGTTTGTGGGTTCACGTTGGACAATATTTGGAGATACGCTCAACCGTGGTTCTACTGCACGAGGATTTCATCTCCTAAACCTCGAGCCTGAAGCAAGAGGCTGAAAACAATAACGATGCAGCAGAATTGATTGAGAAATTCAGCTGACCACCTGATAATGATAATTTTTTCTGATGGTTTGTGTCATCTAAGGTGTAAAACGTTTTTGAATAAAATTAATTAGTCCGGCTCCTTGATAGATTACATTCGAGAAGATGCAAACAGAATAGCTTCAGATTGCATGACAGTCATTTCTGTTCAATAAGTTCGGGGTAGTCGTAGCTCCGGGTAGTACGTACTCCTATTCATCCCAGTCTTCCTTTCGAATCTCGTGTGTTGCATAGACATAGCAATTGCGATGACAGGTTTGAAAGGATCGAGTGAGATTAGAAAGAAGTTTCTAATAATCCGGTTTACCTGTAGTATATATATCCCTCTAAGGTTTAAGAGAAGTTCATTAGGACTGTTTAATGTTAGCCGGACAAAGAACCCAATCATTAAACCATTTGTCGATTTTAGTTGCTAACACACTCCTCATTCTTGTGTCAATGGTGCATCTAAAGAATTGTTTCTACTTTAACACAACCCGCTAGTGGGAAGAAAGTGCTTACACCAATTCTCTTCATTCATCTATCTGATAAGAACCAGAAATTCAACTTCGATGGTCATTTCAAATTGATTTTATGACTCGCTACTATGTTATTTGATAGAAACGTTTCTCTAAACAGTTCCTGAGACAAAATCGATCAGAGCTTGTATGGTGGAAACTGAGTTTGCGAGCAACGGTTTGGGGATCTGTCCACTCAGGATAGGAAAGCTGAGGTAAAGACCGTGTGTGTGTGTGTGTGTGTGTGTGTGTGTGTGTGTGTGTGTGTGTGGTCCAAATACATCATTTGATCGACAACCTCGAGGCCACGATTATCGCTGGTTACCTATGCTCGAATAAACGCGTTCTGTGGGTTGCTTTGCTCCAGTTACGGGACATTGACCAGTGCTCGGGTGAAATTCTAATGCTTTTTCGATCCACAGCAGACAACGCAGACATGCAGACGTTGGGGCAGTTACATGACTGGCAGACAAACATATACAGAAAACTATTCAAAAAAAGAATAATAAGTAAACAGACAGACAGACAGACAGACAGACAGACAGACAGACAAACAGACAGACAGACAGACAGACAGACAGACAGACAGACAGACAGACAGACAGACAGACAGACAGGTAGTCATGTTGACTGCTAGATCGACCATTGTGTTACTGATTAATTAAATGAGCACACGAATAAATAAATGCAACAAATAAATGAATAATGTTGAAAAAGAAAACCAATTTATTCCTAAAGGGACTGGTCCATTTCGGTCGGAAAAGTATTCAACAGTTGTGAAACTATTTCATGTTCTTTCGATGAATGTATTTTATCTAGTAACTACATTGAGCAACCGATTGATCGATCAACTGATTTGACTGGTTTGAAAAGGATGGAAGCAATATAAACCAGTGTAGTCTATAAAAAGAATGATTATTTAAAATATTTCCACAGATCGATAATCAAAATATTCCATGAACAAATGCTGAATTCCAATTTTGCTTCCCGGTTTACCGTTATTCAATTCATGCTAAGGTATGCCAAACTGAATAGACCTATTTCCAAAGGCTCCAATTGATTAGCATTGAAGAAAATGCACGATCTATGTTTAAGTTCACATTCTTAAAGGCATTCTTTCTTTGCGGTCTGCACATTAATTAAAACCGTCTAGGTTCACTAGATAAAATGTCAAATTTGTTCTTCTATCTATTATATCACACGAGGAAACTAAACCGAAATGCATTTTTGTCCAAAACAATATGTATCTATACAGATGGTTTTTTAGTAAGTTATTGAACATCCAAGTAATGCATGTCAGATTCGTAATTATCATCTTTAAAAATACGGAATCTGCAGCTACCACGAAATTGTCCCGAGTAAATAAAAAAAGAACGGATTTTTGTTTACTAAGTGTTTTGTATGTTTTTTAAATCTCGTAACATTCGCACATTTGTTAAATAGATTGACCGACTGTCTGGTCGTTTTTGTCCATCACAAATACCAGAAAAATGTCATCCGGATATCACATTCACAGTCTGTCATTTAAATACTTCCTTTGCTGAAATAAAAATAGATCCGGCATGCTTCCGTGGGACGTCTACTCGACCGACTTACAGATGCTCGTTTTCTATCGATAGACTTTTTAAATACATTCCTGTTGACCTATCGTGTATTCACCACTGGGCTGACGGTGATTTGTGCACTACAAAATGTCCTAGCAAATCCTGAAACGGAGGGGGCGGCGAGTTCAGTTCTCCAACAGCAGCAGCAGCAACAGCAACAACAACAGCATCAACATCAACAACATCCAAATGTGCAGCATAACAATTCAAGTCATCTGAGCGGGTACGTTTATATCTCTTACCCTATCCCAAACCCATATAAATCTACGTTTCTGTTATCTTATTCTCTCTAAAGTGAGTTACGTAGTCTACCACTCATGAGCAGATAGTATCCTGCTTGCTGGTGTTAAATCGTCATAGAAACAGACTATAAGGAAATCGCACAAAGGATGTCTATTTTATACATCTCAGAGAGTCATTTGAGACAATCCAACTTCATGATGATCCTGTGAGCAAAGCTTATTTCAGATCAACGCGCTGAGGGGCAAACTGTTCATATATGTGCGCCACAATAACCTCATTTGTAACACTGGATAAATCTGTTTGGACAGCTCTTCGGGAACCAGTTCACTGAGTAGCTAGTACTGTGATTCGATTCGATTCCATTATCAAAGAGCTGTCTTAACAAATTTACCCGTTGTTGCAAATGAGATTATTACGACGAAACTACACTTCCTGGGTACAAGTAAAAGAATGAAAATTAAAGATTGCTGCCGGATTCGAGTGCCGGAGAAGTGAAAAAAAACCGCAAAACCGGTCGTGTGCTTTCAGGGCAATTTTGTCCAGTTATTCGTTTAGTTCTTTTGTAAAAACTATTCAAATTGCCGCTTGATCCTTGGCTGAACGCCTTCAGCCACAGTGGTCATTCTGACCGGTTTTCCTCTCCCGGCTATAAGACTTAGATAACCTCAACAGTCTGACCAATTTCAGCCATTTTCTACGAACAAACTGAGAGCTTAATAACAATTAGGCAAATTCAGTTCTCCAGTCATTTACTAGAATAATGAAGAGAAGTAACTATGGGAAGTCGTTAAACCCAATGTATTTTCATTCTGATTCTAGCGTCAACCAGATAGCATCACGACCACAAAAGTGACATATATATGTATAAAGATATGGCGCAAAAATAACCATGCATTGAAATTTAATTCCAGAAACAGAAAAAGAGAAAATAAAAACGGTTATTTATGGGGATAATAACATTTATGTTTCTTTACTACAAGCGATTTTGAATTTTTTGTTTTCTTGTTTTATTTTGAGGATTTGATACAGCAAATGGTGAATTCACGCCACTGACTTCAGTTGGATGCTATATCCAACAGTATCTCCAGCCAAAGAGAGTTTGAATCTTCCGGGCCCCAGCCGGAGAGCTGGGAAGCTCTGACGGAAGCCAAATATGAACACAATCTCTTTCCCCCTCTACACCACGTCATAACCTGCCCACCTCGATATTTCTTCCAGCCCGAACCAATGTCTACAAATAGCGCATGGTATGGCAGACGTTGTTCAGACATTCTTAGAGCGTACCCTTGCCACTTCAGAAAATGCAGTGGAATGGGTTTGCTCGCTGGAAGACCATTCGACCATAACACATGTCGTCTAATCTCATCGTTACCCATGTGACGCTCCCTCCATACGTGAGCAATGTTGCGCAGATAACGGTGGTCGAAGACGGATATTCGTTGGACATGATCTGCTCAGAGGGGCCAAGTTTCCTAGCGGTAGAGCAAAATGGTGCGTACCGTTGCGCAATACACTCACCCTTTCAGTTGAAGTTTGTCGCGCTGGCGCCAGAGATGTCGCTAATTAGTTCATACTAATTTAAATTTGATTTCGCATTGAGAGGTCACCTCACCCCCACCTCCGCCAGCCACTATACAACTCCTTAGGTAGACAAGACTTTTGACTTCTTCCAGAGTGTCATTACCCAACGAAAGTGCACGAATGGGTTCTTACCAATCTTGCAACAACACTTTGCACTTTGTAGGTGCAAAGGAAATACCATAGCGAGTAGCCACAATTGCCAAACGGTTCAACGACTCTTGAATCGTTGTTGCGTTGTCAACCAGTAAGGCAATATCATCGGCATACTGTAAGTCTACGACTCTGTCTTCAGAGAGAAACTCGATGCGAGCGTCCGCTACGTTATGTAACGCGTTTTGTAAAACATCATCTATGGCAAAGTTGAAGAGAAACGGAGAGATATAGCAACCCTACAGTACTCCACTGGTGACAGGAAATGAGGGTGAAAGTTCACTATTCACGTTAACCTTCCCCGAGTTCTGGTGACAGAGTGCTTTAAGGAGAAAAACATATTTCTCGGGGACTCCATATCTCTGCAAACAGTTCCATAATGCGGGGCGATCGATGAACTCGAAGGCCGCTCTGATGTCCAAAAATACGACGATGGTTTGTTGTCTGCATGTGTGGCGGTGTTCTAATAGCTGATGAGGGATGAAGATTTGATCTATGCAACCACGGCGTAAACAAAACCCGGCCTGCTTCTCACGGATTTGCCTTTCGCGATATGGGCTTTGTCTGCGTCATTAAACGGACGCTGGTAATTTCGGCGTTATCGGGGTGAGCCTTATGGGTGGAACAGGCGTTGCTACAGCCCTTCTTTTAGATCGAAAGCTCTCTCACTAGATCTTCTCCTCCATTTTAAAGAAAGCTGGTGGCAAGTTATCAGATCCAGACGTCTTGTGCCGTTTTAGGTCATGAAGTTCCTTTCAGAAGTCCTCTTCTGTGGTGATTTCCTGGTTTCCTGGTTTCGTTACCAGGATACACTTTCAAGAGAACTACTCGGGGCAGCAAGCGCTGGAGGCTGGTTGAATTGCGATGTGAATTGCTCTGCCCAGCGTTCCAATCGTTGCAGAAGACTGAATACTGGTGTGCCGTCTATTTCGCAAATTTTTCGCTGTCTTTTGGGACCAGTAGCACGGATGAGTTGCAGCAGTTGCCGGGTGTTTCCACACCTAACTGTTGATTCCATCTCCATCGCAAATAGAGTCCAACAAGCTTATCAGTCGTCCCTCAAGCTCTTTGTGGGTTCATGCTTCGACGAGAGGCGCTGTTCATTATACGCGCAGTCTGCCAGGATCATTCGACGCGCGTCGAGAAGTCTGAGCGAGTTAGAGGAGACCCAGTGTTTTAAAACTCTACAGGTCAGGTCACAACTGTGTAAACTAGCTGAGTACATTGCGTTTTGAATGCTTATTCAGTGTTGATCTGCATTCCTTGTTGGGGTGTTATTTCGTCTTGCAATCAGTTCGTTTTGGCAGTCGACCAGCACTGACGGGTGACGTCGAGCTGTTTGCACCTCAGCTGTTTGCAGCCACCAAATCGCACAGACAACTTAGCGAAAACCAATATGTGGTCGGGGACCAAGCAGGTAGACCAATACGAACGACAGAATTTCACACACCCTCTCCATCTATAGCTAATAGCTGTATGATCAATCTGTGTTCACATCTGTGCCGAAGAGGG